TAGCAGGAGAAATGCCACTATACCTCAGAAGACAATATCTATCATTATGCTACGGTTCAAAAATTCTAAGCACAAAGGATCATACTTTTTCGCAAATTTAGTATCGTAAGAATCACTACTACGATACCTAAATTACACAAAAAAAAACAGTAACATTTTACGAATGAGTTAAAACACTACCGTATTATATCAATCAACTCAACTCGGCACCCATAAAAATATACCAGACATCTCCCTGGACAGTTTCTTTACCAATAGTAGACTTCTCCTTACTTAATCATGATAATCATTCACACATATCTGCTAAGGCCAGACTTCAGTATCATGCAAATTTACTCAAATATTACACTTACAAATTATTCTTCACTGATGCCTACAACGATTGCAACGGAGAAGCAGCTGCTACTGTATCAGAAAACATAATTTCTGCCACTAGATTAACTAACGGCTGTAGTGTTTATACCGCAGAGCTCCAAGCAATACTCGGTGCACTAAATCATTGTAAAACCACAAATAAAAAACAAATACTAATATTATCAGATTCATTAAGTTCTTTACAGTCCATTAAACATGTTTATCCTACACACATCAATATATTCCCAATTAAAGACGCGTTGCAATAGCTTCAATTTTCTGGGAAAACCATATCATTTATGTGGGTCCCATCCCATGTCGGAATAACTGGTAATGAGCTAGCAGATAAAACAGCGTTTAAAGCAATAAACAATGTGAATATTCTGACTACAACAGGTATACCAATATTAGATACTAAAACTTTATTCAAGACTCTTGTAAATAAAATCTGGTAAGAAATATGGGATCAAACAAACACAAATTTTAAAAGCATCAAACCAGACGTATCTTAAAAAAATTTTCCTATACCACCAAAACGAAAAGACCAGGTAATTATCAGCAGACTCCGGCTTAAACATACACGACTTACGCACGGCTACATAATCTCCAAAGAACCACTACCAGAGTGCCAAACCATATAATAATAGAATGTCCAGAGTACACTTCAGCCAAGGCGATATTCAAGATACATAACAGCGTGAAAGAAACACTGGTTATAAAATTCAACGAAGTTCTGTCTTTTTTAAATTACTGTAAACTCTATAATAAATTATGATTTTTATGATGTACCGGGTGGTCCAATAAGCCGATCTCTCGGCTATATATCAGAAAGTATTCATGTTATAACTTTAGGAGAAAAAATTTTATATTAAAAGTGGCCAAGAGAAATCGCTGGAAATAACTTTCAAGATTCTGGATTAACCGCTAGGGGGCGTAACCTGCGAAGAAAATTTTGAAAACCCGTTTTTTGGGAAATATGTCCAATTATACCAAGTGTTAAATAAGTAAACTAGAAAGAGGCATAAATTCTGCACAAAGTTGTTCAAGTACTTTTTTTTTATTTTTTAAATAAAGGGTGGGGGAGAGTGGGAAAATATTTGTGGATAAATCCCTATAACTTTGGTTTGGATCAAACAATTTTAACAAAAATAGTGTCATTAGAAAGAGTATGGATGAATTAATTTACATCTACTATAAAATAATTGCATTTAGTTTTAATTGTCGTAGGTAGAGGGTACTTTCGAATAGACAAAATTAAAATTTGTTTTTCTTCAAAATGTTTAATGGAAACATCTATTTATTGTAAATTATAATGGAACTGTATTAAATTCGTAACAAAATGGCGCAAACCGCATGTTAATAGCTTTTATCTCACTCGAGATATGAATAAAAACCCATAAACATAAGTAAGTATAGTATTGACACACCCTGTATTATAAAATAAAATAAAAAATAATTCTGTAGGTACTTTCAAAATTTTTTATAGCAGAAAACTCTTAATGTTGATACCTATTTTGACCATTGTTATTTCATATGATTAAAAATTGTTTTTTCGAAACTAAGTAGGCTACGACAATGAATTTGACAGGGAGTTCATATTGTTTATTTATTGACAGCAGTCAAAATATTGTTAAGAAGTGTTATATGTATTATAATTCGAATTGAAAATTGCATTTTTTTTTCAATAGATATTAATATTGGTAATATTAGTAATTAATTATCAGTACTAATAATTCGTGATGAGTATATCAAATTGTATGATATGATTGGAGTTTATTTCGAATATCACCAAAATGGCGCTATTGCCTCACGTATATATTCTGTAAGATATCCTGGCAGGAGATATTGTGGCAAAGAAGTAGAGATTTCGGACCACTTATATGTGGATTCTGTTGAATTAAAGCAAGAACATTGATTGAATTATCTTCGGTCATAACTCTACTACGTCGTCTAAAACAAGGACGAGAAAAGCTACCAGTTTCTCTTAATCTTTTTGCCTTTCTTTCAAATACTTCTTTGCCATAATGTCTCCTGTCAGGATATCTTACAAAATATATACGTGAGGCAATAGCGGCATTTTGGTGACATTCGAAATAAACTCCAATCATATCATACAATTTGATATACTCATCACGAATTATTTGTACTGATAATTAATTACTAATATTACCAATATTAATATCTATTGAAAAAAATGCAATCTTTAATTCGAATTATAATATAGCATTTCTTAACAATGTTTTGACTGCTGTCAATAAATAAACAATATTAACTCCCCGTCAAATTCATTGTCGTAGCCTACTTATTTTCGAAAAAACTATTTTTTACAAAATAGGTATCAACATTAAGATTCTTCTGCTATAAAAAAATTTGAAAATACCTACTGACTTATTTTTTAATGTAATTTATAATACAGGGTGTGTCAATACTATACTTACTTATGTTTATGAGTTTTTTATTCATATCTCGAGTTCAACAAAAGCTATTAACATGCGGTTTGCTCCATTTTGTTACGAATTTAATCCAGTTCCATTATAATTTACAAAAATAGGTGTTTCCATTAAAAATTTTAAAGAAAAACAAATTTTAATTTTTTTATTTGAAAGTCCCCTCTACCTACGACTATGAAAACTAAATGCAAGTATTCTATAGTAGATGTAAATTAATTCATCCACACTCTTTCTAATGACACTAATTTCATTAAAATCGGTTGATCCAAACCAAAGTTATAGGTATTTATCCACAAATACTTTCCTACTCTCCCCCACCCTTTATTTGAAAAAATTAAAAAAAAGTACTCGAACAACTTTGTGCAGACTGTATGCCCCTTTCTAGTTTAGTTATTTAACACTTGGTATAATTGAACATATTTCCCAAAAAACTGGTTTTCAAAATTTTCTTCGCAGGTTACGCCCCCTAGCGGTTAATCCAGAATCTTGAAAGTTATTTCCAGCGATTTCTCTTGGCCACTTTTACTAAGGAATTTTTTCTCCTAAAGTTATAACATGAATAGTTTCTGATATATAGCCGAGATATCGGCTTATTGGACCACCCGGTACATACAAGTACATTGTACCATATTGTTGTAAGCCATGACTGTTAAAATGTATCTTATTTTCTTTATTTGTATCATAAACCTACCGCTAAAAACCCTAGTGGTTGATGCAGATAAATAAAATAAAATAAAAAAAAAGATTTGTTAATGTTTTTATGGTTGGCGATAAAATTTTGTGTGCACCTCGTCAGTAAACACTCTTTATCGAACTCGATTGTTACTGACTGCTTGCTCTGCTCGTAAGATCAGACTTCTTTAATAAAGAGTTACTTTATCGATTTGCTAAATAAATAAGTATTACTTTATATGTATATTTTTATATTTACAAAAAAGAGCTAAAAAATTAATTTCCATAATTTTCAGATCCATTAAAATATTAAATTCAAACGATCTAGGTTTTTTTGACATACGAAACCCCATCTCTGCAAAATTAACAAGCTTATTATTTAATTGAAAAATTTATTATTTTTCTATAAAAATATAAAAATTAAATTTATTGGAACATGAATTAAAATATTTCAATTTTTTTCAGATTTCCTCTTGCTGGCGGTTCAATCCTCTACAACATCCAACTACCACTGCGCAACTGTCCCCTATTTTTGCAAATGCAGAACAGTATCGCTGACTTTTTTCAAGAAACGTTCGTTAAAGTTTTAATCTAAAAATAAATATTGTCACACGTCACCGAAGGAAGCGAGATAGGACACCCAATTAAAATCGAATCACCAATGAAAGAGAGAGACCAGAACAGATAATTAGAAAAACAAGTTGCAGAAAGAAAGCACAGGACGGGAAATATGGAAAATGTGGAAAGTATTCACAGGCGCACATCTGCGGCATGCCAGCGGACCGACTGACTGTGATTTTTCATCATATTTTGCATTTTCAGCGCGCACTCAACTTGGAAAAACCGAGGTGCACGCTTTTTTCACCCGGCGCGTATCAATTTATCAAAATCGCCACACTCAAAGAGTCACACGAACGGTTTAAACGTTGTGGATCACTCAAAATCACCTAAACAACAAGATACACTGGCGAATCGTACGGATTGCAAAAGACGTTGACGAATGACACTTGTGTGTAGTGAAAAATACAGAATAAACAGCTTCGTAAGTGTTTTTATCGTGTATTTTTTATTCGGAAAGTTACCGGTTGGTTTTAAAATAAACATATAAACATTTGTGGACAAAGTAAGTAGGCACTATTTTTGAACAACTAAGGACTAGCAGTAATAGAGTGCACAATTTAAATATTGATGTCAATATTATAACAGATATATAAATAAGTGACAATAAAACAAAATTTTAACAAAAAGTCTGAAAATAAATTTTTAAAATGAACGAAACATTTATAAACACCAATTTAGTGAAAGAAGTTTAGTCATGAAAAAAGTCAACATTTTAAAAATAAGTACATATCAACATATGATCTAAAAGACGGAGTACAAAACTGCTGTGACAACACAAACTATCCCTAACTTTTTATTACTTTTTACCTACTTATTACTTAAACATATTCTAAAACCAACCGACAACAAAAACTGTATACTTGTGCGATGTCAGTGGATGTCTGGAATTGCTAATCCAAGACAATGCATCTGGGCAGTGAAGTTTCTTCAACAACCGGTCACTACGACCGCAGTTACGGAAATTTGACAGCAGAAATGCTCGCGGAAAGAACTATCGACGGTCTCCTTGCTGAGCATCCAGGAGAATTAGTGAGAACGGGGTCTCCGCATGTGGTTTGTACCGTTTTGCCACCTCATTGGCGATCCAATAAGACTTTGCCGGTGGCTTTTAAGGTTGTGGCTTTGGGAGATGTCGGGGATGGGACTGTAGTGACTGTGAAAGCGGGAAATGATGAAAACTATTGTGCGGAACTACGAAATTGTACTGCTGTTATGAAGAACCAAGTAGCCAAGTTTAACGATTTGAGGTTCGTTGGCAGAAGTGGAAGAGGTGAGTTTTGACATTTAAAAAATATTTACATAGTACTAGTAGTATCTAAATACATAACTATATAAAACTTAATATCAGATGTTTTAGACTAAACCAATTAGTTTAAGAATTATTGATAACAGTTGATGATATAAGGAAAATATTTTGTTAACAATAATTTAACTTAATTTATTTTAAATCTAATTTTAATCTCCATTTTTCCTATTCTTCTATAAACGTTCTTGTTAGATATTGCATCATCATGATTGTGTGCTGTTACTACCAAATTGTGTACAAAACCAAGTGTATACAGGGTGAAGCAGAAATGGAAACACCATATTTCTGTATTTTTTTTCATTGTTCTATTATATATAATAAAGGATTGATTAGGTCTGTCACCGCTTCTCCGCCCCCAATTTCGATCTTTTTCTATCATATGCAGTTGCCTCTTCTAAGTCTCTTGCCGCCATTGTTTCATCAATATCGTTGTGCCAAATTATCCGTGGTCGTGGTCTCTTTCTTCTTTCAGAAGCGATCCATTCCAGTACTCTTCTGGGCTATCTGTACTCTGGCATTCTTTTAACATGTCCGAACCAGATTAATTGTTTTTTTTTCTATGTCATTATCGAAGTTTCGCTTCATTTTCATTTCGTTTTGTATTTGTTCATTTCTAACTCTCTCCAGTTTGGATCAACCGTAGCTTCGTCTCAGATAATCCATTTCTGTCGTCATAAGTTTGTTTCTATTAGCTTTGGTAACGACCCATATTTCCGAACCGTAAAGTCTAATACTTTGGACTATACTACCGTAAATGTGTTTTTTGGTTTCTCGTCGAATTGTTTTTTTGTCAGAGAAGAGAGTTTAAGGCACGGGTCGCTGCTCTGCCCTTGTTTATTTTTTCCCTGATTTCACTGCGCTATTTACCTTCTTGTTGCAAATGACCCCCACATATTTACAGAATTGCACGCATTTGATTTTGTCGTCTTCCAATACTAGGTCACATATTTTATCTGTTCCCACTGAGAGATATTCACATTTTGTCATATTCATGTTTAGACCTGCCACCTCATATTCTTCTTGCAGTTTTCTTACCATATAGCTAAGATCGTAGCTGTCTTCGGCAATTACTACCTGGTCATCCGTAAAGAAAAGTGTATATAGCGTGTTTTTTTCCACCAATATTCCCATGCTTTTACATGTTTTTACCCATTTCACTAACGATTTGTGCAAATAAATTTTAAATAAGGTGAGTGACAGACAGCAACCTTGTCTTAGTCTCTTTGTTGTTTGAAAAGGAGAGGTGATTTCTTGTCTCATTTTAATTCTTGCAAAGTTTTGTTCGTAGTATTTTTGAGTGACGTTAATAAGAATTTAGTTTATTTTCAAGTTACCCATTTCTATCCGTAGTTGGGAGATCGGTACACTGTCATATGGTTCTTCCAAATCTATTAAAGCTATATGAGTTTCTCTATTTCTCTGCACTTGTTTTTCCATTGCAATTTTTAATGTGAAAATATTATCCATAGTGGAGCGTAAGGCCCTAAATTCCGCTTGTTCTTCGGGTTGTTTGTCTATAATATTATTTTCTATTACTTTTCGTAGAACTTTTAAGTATAGTCGGCCTATAGGAGTAATCACTAACCACAGAAATACTTGTAGGAAGAAGAAGCAAAGGCCGACCGCGAATTAGGTGGTTAGATGGAGTTGAAACCGACTTACGGATATTAAAAATCAGAAGATGGCAACATGTTGCCAGAAACCGAACAGAATGGCGACGAATCTTAAAGCAGGCCAAGATCCACAGAGGATTGTCGAGCCAAAGATGATGATGATGATAGTAGTAATCACTGCGATCCCCTATAGTTTTTAGGATCTGCTTTTGTGCCTTTCTTGTATATTGGAGAGATATACGATTGTCTCAATTCTTCTGGAACTTCTTCTCCGTTTAAGCACTTTCGAATAATTTTCAGATCATTTCAAACAGTTTTGATGATTCATACCTAATCAACTCTGGATGTATTCCGTCTGGGCCTGCAGATTTTCTTAATTTTATTCCCTTAACTGCTTTTTTACTTGTTCTATTGATATTTCTATTCTTCCTTCTACTTCCACTTGTTCATTTGTCTGTTTAAACTTTTCTCTTCTCTCTGTTAATCAAGTTCTCAATATGTTCTACCCATGTGTTCCCTGGTATTCTACTTATTATGATTTGGTTTTTTGTCGTTGTTCTTTTTGTTTTTATAGTTTTTTAGGCTTCCGAGCTCTTTGTCCCTCCTATATGGTTGTCTAGGTATTGGCATTTTTGTTCCTATGCACTATTTTTCTTTTTACCCACTTCTCGTTTTCGTTTGACTTCCTTATTCAATTATATAGCGCTGCGTCTTTCATCCAGTTTTTTATATGTTCGTATTCATCCGTCAGGACAGGGCTAAATTTTAAACAGCTAATAAGAACAGCTGAAGATAGAGAAGAGTTTAAAATTGTACTAGCCAACCTCCATTGAGGAGAGGGCACTTTAAGAAGAAGAAGATTCATCCGTCGTTGATCTGTGTGATTCCTGTAGTTTTTGTGTTATTCTCCAGGAGTAAAGTAAATGTGTGCTCTCGTTATCTAGATTGCCTAAGGTGTACGTAATTCTTTCTATTTTTTCTCTGTGTTCTTTGTTGATGTCTGTGTGGTTCCTGTCTACGATTGTTCATTGTTCTATTATTTATTCTGAAAGTATTTGTATTTGTTCTAAATGTAAACATTGTATTAGAAAAAAACCCTTATTTAACAATTTTTGTTGCTCTGAATCCTTTGATATCATTTTTTCTTATTTGCTTTTTATTTTTACATCGTGGTGAATTGTTTTAGCAGCTTTTATTAGTTCTACATTTATGTTGTTTTTTTCATCGCTTTCCATAGTTCAATCAGAGGGGCACAATAAAACGCTTTGTTTAGATCTACAAAAATGTAAGTAGTTGTTGATCATAGGGTTAATTTTTTTTATAACCTAGGTCAGTGGGAAAAGTGACTGCTGCCTCTTAATCTTTGTACCCATTTTCTTTTTTTAAATTAAAGATGGTTCCATATGGTTTACTTAGTGTATTTGTCACTGCAATTATGTGATAGTTTTGACATTTATTTTCATTTCCTTTTTTAAATATAGTTAAGAGGTAGTTTTTTTCATTTAGTTGGCATTTCAGTCTTGTTAAGACATGATTTATATAATATTTTCAGTTGTTCGTAAAACTGTTACTTCCACATTTTAATAGTTTTCCGTATATGTCTCCTGGTTCAGAAACTCTCCACTTTTCAAGAATTCACACTGTTTTTTTACCACTTTTCACATCAGTATTGGCAAACTTTTTGCTCGAGAATAGAAAATACTCCCAAGTATTTTCTACTCTCCTCTCTAAACTGTATTCGCTGCTTAGTTAATAGATCTTTAAAAAAATATTTTCATATATTAAGTGCATTTGAGAATATATTATCTTTTGTTGTTGTCGTGAGGATATTTTTTACAAGTCACCAAGTCCCGGTACTTCGTTTTTCCTGCTAGTTAGTTGTTTATGTTCACGCAGTTTCTTTCCAATGTCCAACATTTTTTAGCATTGTTCTGCGAATTTTCGACTGTGCTTCGTTAAAGTGTATTTCGTGTTCGATTTGTTTTGCACCAAGAAATTTTTGAATTATTTCTTTCTATCTTCTGTGTCTTTTTAATAACTTCATTCCACCAGTTGGGCTTATTACATACACAAATGATCGTATTTTCTTGTATTTTTGAGCCTTGTTCGTTTGTCTTGTTTTTCACTGTTACTATTAGATCCATTTTCTATTGTTCAACTTCTTGGATATTTTCATTTATCTTTTTGAATATACCTGGTACTTATAATGAACTTATGTCTATGATCTGTTGGCTTTGAATCGTTCATCTTCGGTTTTCAGTTATAATCCGAGGCTAAATATCGATTTTTTTGGCAATGGTTTTTTTTACGAGAACATGTCGTCGGCTTGGTGCTAAACCTTTCTTTTCAGCCGGGCTAAGGACTAACCAAAATAGTTTAACAGTTATTTAGTTTGCCCATAAACTAACTCCAAGCGAAGTTCCCTATACTATGATATGGGCAATTACATATAATTAAGTGCTCTTCCACAAAACTGTTTGGTTTACATCACAGACTCTTATTGTGTTGCATCCACTGTAGTTTTTAAGCAAAATATATCTTTTTTGTTTAGCTTGTTACTTTTATTATTTTAAAAAGGAAAATTTTCCTTTTACGCAAATCAATGTTACTGTTATTAATAAACCTTTACCATGATTGCTGATTTTTTTTATGTTGCAAGATTTATTTGATTTGATATGACTCTTTGTTTTTAATTACTGCATTTTTTTATACCGATTCATTTATTGTTATAATTGTCATACTTTCTTACTATTTATTTTCTTTTTCGTGTTTCGAGTCTCTTAAAATTGTTTTTCCACAACCTGTTCTCAAATTCTCCCATTCAATAATTATATCTAGTTTCTTAAGCTGCTGTTTCAGATATTGATCTCAGCATTTTCTTCTAGCAAATACATTTTAAATACTCCCTCTTGACACAGTTATAATAAATCCTATGTCTACTACAATCGACTTAGTACTCCCATTGTTCCAAATGTTAGATTTCTACGATATATTTGAGTGACTTCTACTTGGCACTGTAATTTTTTGTTTACTATTATTAAGTCTACTATCGATCTTTAATTGGAGAAAAAATAAGAAAATTACAGTGCAAATCTATTTGAAGACGATAAAATTAGTTTACCTGCGGATATTAGATACTAACTGCGACGGATCCCTAATAACACGCTTTGAGGTAATACAAGCCATACCATTATCAAAAAATGGCAAAGCAACAAGTCCTGTAAAAATACCAAGTAACATATACAGGCTTATAAACGATAAGAATGTTTTAGAGACTATACGTTCGTTTTGAATACCATTTATACCAGCGGACAGTTACCTAATGGTTGATCAAATTCGTTGTTCATATCT